TATGTGCATACGCTGGACTAAGGAGCAGTCATCATTCATTCGCATTCACTAGCAACATCCTCAGAGCCATAGCGCTGAGTCGGTGAGACGGCTGCTTGCGCTACCCTCTGAGCAGGTTAGGTGAGCGAGAACCCCAGCACGAACCTAAACCAGCAAACAGTAGCTTCGGACACAACCGAGCAGATCCCTGCCACAGCTTTCTCTCTTTGGCTTGGATTTCTGCTACACTAGTGCTTTTGGTTAAAGAACGCTCCTCAACAAAAGGGGTTTCTGATCAGTTAAAAAGATTTTTCAAACGATCGATTTTTGATATAAAGTGTTGAAAAACTGGGTGATGGCATTGCATGGCATGGCATTGGTATTGTACAGACTAGTGACACGGTCGTAGTCAAGGTAGTGTGTGCTTTCATAAAAATCTGATAATGGAGTGAGAATAACAGAGTAATGAGAACAAATGAACGAGGGTGAACATAAGGATGTGAAGTTGTGTCAGTGTCAGTGTTCAAGTGACACTACTCGTTAAAGCAATTTTCTAATTTTTGATTACTGAATCTTCCATTAATATTTATCGTTTGTTTTTCAGCTTACCCTGGTTGGTCCAATGGGTGGTTCAAGAAGGATTGCAACAGTGGATGGGCGTTTGCCGCAGCTGGCGTCTTGGAAGGGGTCTATAGCTGGAAAACTAATCAGGAACCAGTGAGTTTTTCTAAGCAGGAACTAATTGAGTGCGCCTACGAGGATGGTTGCAAAGGTGGTGATCCCTATGTGGCGTTTCTTTACATCGAAAAATTTGGCATCAGTAAAGCTAACGACTATGGATACCGTTACGCATCGCGAATGAGCTGTCACCGTACTTCCACTGTTTTCGAAGAATTATTTGGTCTTTTATTCGAATCACCGCGATTTTATTCTGCATTTTATATTGATCGTTTGTATCCAGGGGGAAAAGCCAATGCCAAGGAACTGATGGATCTCATCGAAAAGTACGGCCCTATTTGTGTACATGTGTCAGTCGGAAAAAAATTCAACGACTACGGCAAATACTGGGCGCTCTCATCATCGGATGTTCAAGTGCCGGGCGGTACCAGCCATTCAGTAGTAGTGGTTGGTTTTGGAGGACCTGATAACTCAAAAAAGCCCTACTGGATTATCCGCAACAGTTATGGCTCGGGTAAGTGCAAATTTCATTTAAAAATAAGTTTAGTTTAATAAATGGTNAAATGGTATTTTATTTAAATAGACTGGGGTTCATATGGCTATGGACTATTGGAGCAAACGGAAGATGCTAGCGAAATTAATCGAGAGGTTATTGTTGTGATTTGGTGATCCAGCGGGCGTAACGTCCTGTACGCACGGGTCCCCACGCTGCCTAAATGATTATCCTGCTTTCTCTCGAGCACTCGCTCTCTGTCTTTTGCCTT